TTATCAGTTGTCACAAGTACACTATTGCTGTAACTCGTCGTTCTGAAAATAAATCTTTTTTAAAAGGCTTTCCCTTGATTGAAGAATTTAACTCGCCAGTTGCAGTTTCCAATCGTCTTGTGCTTATTTCTGGATTTTCTCCAACACGAACCAGAACGTTTTCTCTTGTTCTGGAGTTGAAATTTTCGGACGTCCCAAGATATTAACTTTGGTCCTTAAGCAACCAGTTTTCCCTAATCGACGGTAGATGTCTCCAAATAACTTGAAATTCGGTTGCCTCCTATTGGGATACAATTCTAAGTAACGCAGTTTGGCACTGCGCCCACTAAAATTTTGCTGCACATAAACTGTAACCATATCTCGCATCTCCAAGTTCGAAAAAATTATGCCTTGGCATATTAACTAATTGAAATCAAAACTTAAGTATGTAGTGGCACTAGGTCCCTTTGACAGACACCAAGTAAATCCGTGTCGCTGTGTCACACTACTTGACATGCATTGTAACATCCTCACAATTCTGCATTTTGCAGTTTAATCGCAAATATCTCCGAAACAGAGGCTTGTTGGGACATTGACTCAGAATATCGTTTTTGTGCACAATTAATAGGTGATTACACGCAACTAGTCTAGAAGTCAGAATACTGGGTCACCAAAAGTTTAAAACATTTTTTTGCCCAGATATAGTCGCAAGTTGCTTTTTCTACAAGTTTATCAAAATCTGATGGTAGTGTTGGATTTCTGATGCTCAAAAACCCCTGAATACCAAATTTCGTTAAAATATGCAGCTCCGTTCAAAGTAGAACAACGAAAAACTGAAATAAAAATGTAACTTTGACGCCCTGTATGTCGGCAACCGTCAACTTTTGGACTAAGGTAAGTTGTGTTAAATCATCAAATTTTCACCCCAGGAATCCACCATTTTGTGTTGTGCCATTACTTTTGGTACACCCTGTAGAACTGAATTCGTAATTTTGTTTCTATATAAATTAAAATTTAAATTATATAATGCAAAATATTATATTGATATAATATTTGTTCTCCATAAAATTTGTAAACTTTTGTAGCAAAAAAGAATATTTTGATTTGATGTATAATATTCATGGCCATAATCAATGTGTAATACCTAATTGTGTTTCTGATTGACATTAGCTCAAGCCTCCAATTATTGATAACTTTATTCGCATTACTGCCACCAATATTTTTGACTACATTAACAATATTTTGTTAAAAAAATTACAGGGGTAAGACAATCTAGGTGTATCAATTTTAAACTAGCGCTTCACATTATTGACAGGTCCTGGGCAATATAATTTTTTTCCACTCTGACAATTTCCAAGAGTATTTTTCTTATTATTAAGTACGTAGTCATCAACATTTACCGGTTCCGGTTAATTGTTGTGCAATTTTTGACACGTATCCTTTGACTTTGATATATCTGCAACTATGGTGTGAATACCATCGATTTGAAAGTCTCAACCAGCTATTAAACTAAGACATAAATCTGGATTTAATTCAAGAGCGATATATTCAATGTCAGAACAGCGAATGCTATGTATGTTCTTTGCCGCGAAATATTTATGGTATACCAAGCCATTAATCCTTGTTTAATTCAATCTCCTGCAGTTATTTATTTTTCGGAGTCAGTAGGTGATAGATAATGTAACCACTGCGTAAGGTAATAAATTTTGTGTGCACCAGGACTCCCTGGGCTGAGCTGATCGCCTAATTAAGAAAATCTTTGGGGGTGCTTATTTTTTTTATTTTTATATTTTTTTTTATTATAGCAATCTAGTACAGTATACTAATAAGCCATTTGTCTTTAACTTAATCTACTACTTTAAAAAACACAAAGCACACACATCCTCCGATAGTCASTCTGTCCGTAATATTATAGTACATCGGTTTGACATGTACTCTCTCACAAATTCTTGCTTTCTAAACCAGTTCGAATGGTTTAGTTCTTTTGAGTCTTCTTTGTATTTCCGCATTATCCAGGAGCTTGAGTGCCTCAGGATTCACATGCTGATGGAGTCGCTGTTCGTGATTCTGTGCATACTTTTTGATGACGTTA